GAAATCTCTTCCACTTGGAGATTAGATTCCCCTTCCCTGACTCACTTTTCGAACACCACCTACTTACGGAGAAAAAATCTGAGCGTGAAGAGTGTTACTGTAGTGTCGGTAATTTAACACACAAAAATCAGTCAATATAATCTAATTATTTGATTTTGAGCTCTTCAATTAATAACGATAATTAGACATTCTTTAACTTACGTTTCGATAACTGGAGATATTGCAAGTCCAGTTGTACATTTCTACATGATGGCTTCAGCGGACAAGTGGGCAAAAGTGGTTGCATTGAACTTGTAGGATGGCGAGACCATGGTTGTATATCAGATCCACATTGTGATTACAATTATCCACGGCACATGACAACTACCAATCGCGACAGAATGAACACGCGATGACCCACCTGCGACAACGCATACTATAATTTTCCAGCAAAATTGACTGCAAGGCTTTCATCTTTTAACGTTTGCAGCATACCTTCAATCGAATCCTAGTTGTGGGGATTCCTCTATTCACATAAACCGGGTCTCAAGTCATTTTTAGCACCTTATCCCTATCATTCAGGTTGACGATAAAACCTAGCTTTTTCTATGTGAGCTGAAATATTCTTTAGCAATCCCTATACCAGTTCAGCATATGAACCCATGCAGTGACCGCTAACATGACCCGTGATCCCTGCAACCGACAGGGCGTGTTGGCGCGGCGCGTACTGAGGCGTAGTCGGCCGGCCTTGTGCTAGCAATGATGCCATCCTACATCTGGTGGGTATCTGTTCTGGCTGCGTTACAAGCCATGCCCATGGACTACACGGACCATGACTGCACTGAAGCAAGAAGTACTTTTTATCCTCCAAAAGAGGAGACAAAAAACGCATTGTATTGTGGCGCACCTGCTAAGTTTATTTTGCACGAAATGACGGTCTCAATAGATATTGTAAACTTTTTATTCGGACACTGACCTAACTCGAGCGTACCTGAGCTGTTGATTCAGAGTACGTGGGATCCTTGTTGAGTCGACGACCAGCTCGACCGAAAGCGTTACACGAGCAGGGTACTTTTCCGCTGCGGAGTGGAGGGGGTCGTATTTGGTCGTTGTTGGGAGAGGGGGGGGTCGTATGTGCCTTTGAGATAAATTCGCCACACCCCCTCTCTCTCCCCGCTCGAAAATTTTTGGGTGAAAAACTTGAAAATGTGGAAAATTGGTAGGTAGGGGATGGAGAAGGGTTGTACCGATACCCTCATCAAGTGGGGGGTCGTACTGACTTTCGAGGGGGGGTGTACCTTACACCACCATTTCACACATCACGATGTTATACGGGGCTCTGCTTCGCGAGGTTACTTGAAGTAGTTGCGGCGAAGTATTGCTCCATCTTTTCGCGAATGCGTGAAGGCAGAGCCTGTTTTCCTTTAGTTGTTGAAGCAGCGAAGTGAATTGAAAGTGAAAGTGAAAATAGCCGAATCGAAAACCACTGATACCGACGACTTTATAAATACAGGGCACATCATTATGGAGATGTAGGTGGGAGTTCCATGCAACCACCCCTCCTTTTCTATAGGGGCTTTGATACGACCCCTACTCTTTCTGCATTGCCGACCTACCACTTTGCTCAGAGCTCAGATTTCCCCAACTTTCCAACCATTTTTCTCAGAAGTCAGAAGTTCCGAGCTTTTCCTACTTTCACCCAGATGTTTTTTGCTGGCGGTGGGAGGGGTGGGGGGGGGTAAATTAGTACCTGTGAAACAGGGAAAAACCAACCGATCAGTCAGCGACCTTCAAAGCTCAGAGCGGAAATATCGATTCCCCTCACTCTTCTCAACGACAAGCAAATACGACCCCCACCCCTTTACAACGTCCCTGAAACAAGAAAAATCAACTGTCAGCAAAAGTTTTTCTCTGGCCGAATGCGACCCTCTTCTCCAAGCGACCAAATACGACCCCCCCCCCTGCTTGGAGAATGGAAGAACAAGTTGACGTGCCTCATTATAAAATGTCTGATGACTGTACGATTCCATGACGGCGTCATGGATGTAACGTGATCTTATTCTATGCTGCAGGCAGTAAAAGTCTCAAAACTAGGCCTCCTATTAAACACAGCCAAGGACGTGATACCTTTTATTCGCTGCGGATGTAAGGGGCGTCAGGCGATAATGTGCGCAATAAGCGCCGCCCTGTTCTGAAGAGGGTGGTGCGCACAATAATGGTAGAAACGAGTGATACACAACGATAAGTGAGTCTTGTCACTCTTGCTCAATTCAACAACTGGTCGAAAATGGGATTAGCACCGCGCCAAACTCACCCGCCTGACACGCCCCTTCGTCCGCAGCAAACCAGACTATATGCCTTCCCATCGTCTGGACCCTCGCCACTCTTGCTGTCATGCCTTTTGCTGCCCTGCGATATTGGCTTTGTTGTAGAAACCATTAGCGCTTACAGAACAAGGGACAGAGACAGGCGCGAGCCCGCATTGGGGTGCTACTAGAGTACGTCGATCGCTAAGGATGCCCTATGAGTGGTGGGGGGGGGCGTATGTGACAAGAGAATCGTTAAATTCACCGTGCGGTGTACGTCGCGTCCGACGTCGCGCCCGCAAATGACGATGGTCCCAGGTGGTGGATGGCAACAACAGGTAATTCGAAAATAGTCGATGAATGACGATGACGGCGATCTTACATGAAGTCACTGTTCTGACGGAAACGTTGACATCGAGTTAATAAAACTCTTTGCCGCTCCCGCGCGCGGCCGGCGCGGCCAAATTACGATTTCTTTCCGGTTCGAGGGTGGGGGTCGTGGTCGCTGCGGAGCGCTCGTATTTCGCTTTTGTTTTTTTTTTCAATTGGTTGATTGAGGTCCGCGGCGGGTCCGGGCCATCCATATCGTTGGTAAAGAGTGTATCAATGCGTCTTAGAGAGTGGCGGTCGACCAGGTGATACTTTTTCTCCAGTTCGCAAATTTTTGCGGCGCGGGTGTGTGTGTGTGACCACACCTGTGACAATGCACCCGCTTTCGAGACAAAAATCTTTGAAAGAAAACGGTGGTGGTGCGAGTTGCGGGAAAGTCCATATAAGATGGTAGCTAAGAAGGGGAACGGGGAGTCGCACCACAGGGGGAGGGGGAATTTGGGAGGCTCGTATTCTGCAAAGTTCTCCCCAGTGACAAGACGTGCACCGGCTTCAAGGCAGCTTTCATTCTGTTATACTCAGTGAAAGACGGCTCATTTATTAGTCTCTAAGAAACTCGTCAACAAAACTGTGCCATCGAATACCGTGACTTTGGCAGAAAAGGAGGTCATTATGTTATTCACTGATACGTCGAGCTCTCACAACCAAAGTAACAATACAGTACAGAAATCAAACTGACAACTTCCATTCAAGTATTGTAATACTACTTCACAGCATCTTTTGAGAATTGATTTGAAAAAACCTATACCCAATGTACCCAACATACAATGGCAACTTTAACCGTAACAGGCCATAAGTAGACAACAGTAACTGCGCCTAGAAAAGTTACTTAATTACATACAACATACAAAATCAAAGTGATGAGGGATCAGCCCGAGTTATAAAGCGAAATGGTCCAGGTCAAAAACCAGCAGATCAATAGACACCCATTTCAGGACAAGCGATTCTTCTTTTCAGCAATTCTCTTGTACTTCTTCGTTATCTGAAAGAAATATTGGAAGGAAGATGTGTCCAGATCTTCAATGAAGCTTAAACACTGTTATTCCACCAGCCACATAGGGCACCTAGAGGAAAAGAATAGATTCCAGGCTGAAATGCTTTGAATGCAACAAATGAAGTGGTTCAATTCCGGCCTCAAAAAATTTGTGCCTCAATTTTTTTTCAGATCACCCACCGAGCAGGTCACCGTGAAAATGTCTAGCAGTACAAGTTGGTTGTCAAATGCTTGGGTCCATAGTTTGTTCAGACTCATATGGCTAATATAATATTTTGAACACTCCCGCTACGGAGAAAGCGCCCAAAGGGACATAGGAAGGCCCTTTGCGCTTCAACTACGCAAACTTTCGCTGTCTCCAAGCCACTATAGCCACTGATCTTCACCTATCTGCGCTACAGTTACCTCCCCCTACCTACCTAATCAGAACACGAGACTGTAGCTGACTCATCCGAAATCAACAAGTACAATAAACTACTAATTTCTAATTTTTGACCTCTTTGTCTCGTTTGTTCTTCAACCTCGCAAAATCGAGCCCCTTTACTTCCACAAAAGCTCGATGGCCAATTTAGCGAGCCCTGTGCCCTAAATTCATCGGAACTTAGTAATCATGACTTGCTTGTTACCCTATGGCAGGAATGAGTACCTTGCCCCAGCCGTCAATGGTGGATTAGTGAACGGATCCACCAGAAGCATATCAAAAGGGAGTCCTACTGTGAAAGGCAGGATACAGTTTGGGAAGAAAGAAACTGAAGAAATGTAATCTTTTATAACGAGGACATCACACTTGCCTTCCTTTGCGCTGGGTTTACACCTTTTTTCTATGGAATTTTACAGTCAGTTCACGTTTCGCATTTGGTCGCTAGGGGGAGGGGTCCAATTTGTCCCTAGAGCATTGAGAAAAATGTTTACCGGCGTCGATTTTTCTCGGTCTTTCTTGTTCCAAGTTCGCTATATACACCGTTTCCTCCCCCCCCCCCCGGAGGAGGGAAAAACTCACCCATGCGCGTATGCGGCGCGGTTTCTTCACGGCGGCAGGGCGGAGCGAAAGGCGATGGCCCGCGTCTCCGGCGCTGTGCTCCAATCCAGCAGCCTCTTTTATGTGGAAGGAAGAGGAGGGAAAAGTAGAGAGAGGAAGGGAATTGAACAGATAGTGGGTGCATATGTGAGTTAGTGGTAGTGGTAGGAGATCACAGAAAAGTCGACTATCACGAATTACTTCAGTGAATGGCAGAACTGGCGGCATAGTTTCCTTCGATTGTGAAAGCAAGCAGCTTTTACACGAAAGTTTAAGCTGAGGTTTGGCAAATTGCCAACAGTCGGTTGTGACCTTATAACGCTATAACGTCACGTCCCATTCGAAGGGAATCATTCTGCCAGTTCCGCTGTTGACTGAAATAATACGCTCTGATTCTCGACTTTTCTGTATTCTCTGCTCACCATTACCACTAACTCACCTATGAGCGTTCACTATTTGTTCAATCCTCTTTTCTCTCCTCCTCCTTCCACATAATGGGGCATAAAAGGGGCTTCTGATTGAAGCACAGTGGCGGAGGCGCAAGCGATCACCCTTCGCCCGCCCGTCGCCGCAGGGCCGTGAAGAAACCGCGCCGCATACCCGCACGGATGAGTTTGTACACGGAGCCCCCCCCCTTTCGTTCGATGTCGGTTTTTCTTCAAGAAGTGGGAGAAAGTTAGGGATTTTCGCAGCAAGCTCCGGAAAATGGATGGGACGTTGGGAAAATTCAGGAAGATGACAGATGGGATGGATGGGAAAGAGAGGTTAACCAGAGTAAGAAATGTTGAGAAGTTCTGAAGGGGGTAGTACTTTCTAAAATTGCTCCCAACGGCATGGCGTGTCCTGATCAGCAATAAACCTGTTAGCGAAGGGGTTGCGAGAATCGTAAAATACCTGATCAATCACTATCGATCGTCGACCGCGAGCAAAGTTTTGCATTCCCGGTATTTTACGCAGTTTAGTTGGACTTCGTTTAACATCCGATCCGACGCGTGCTGCCGGTCCTGAAAACATGACATAATCATGGCGCTGAGCCGATCAACGCAAATCCTAAAGAAGTGAACCGCAAGGCCAGTTGTTCCTGATGTAACGCAGTTCCACCCTAATAGTAGATATTGAGGACACCTTTCTCGTTCATCTGATGTTCAGACGCCTTCTTTGGATAAGGTAGTCCTGTCCGCAAGCACAAAGGGTCTATGGCAATTGCAGCTACGTTACGAAAGAGCGCGGTTCGGTCGCAACGAAGGCGGCCCCACCCGCTGCCCGAGAGTTGACGGTCTGTCATGGGCTTCTATACCGGGCATTTCTATTTTTCTTGCTTTCTTTTCTTCGTTTTTGAATCAAGTACTACCTTGTCATAAGTGTTTGAGCTGCACAGCTCATCATTTTTGTACAAGAAACGTGCCTTCAAACAGCCATTCGTTGTCGCTACATGAATTGCTGGCGTCGAAACAGCATAAAACTGGGTAAAAGAAACATAGAAACCGGTGGGTGTTGGGGAAACCAGAATTAAGAAGGAGCACTGGTTAGCCTACTGCTGAGCAAACGTCGTAAAAACTACGAAAAAGTGATTCGCTCGA